CAGAAAATATGAGAGTTTTGTTATAGAGCACGATTGCACGTCATCTTACTGTTACTCTCTGTAAATATGAGACATAACTTGGTAGCAAAATACATCGATAGCATTGCAAGTTGTGGATCATGAAAGAATTTTGAAGTAGATTTTTGAAAAACGCCTGTTTGGGCATAAATACTATTTCAGTATTTTGAAATACCGCTCTTTATTGATTGAGCTTTCTCAGTGTTGGTTTGAAAGCCTTGACAGTTCAGTTCGCGTATTTCGTAGCCAACATTCGAGGGAAGAACTTGTATTACAAGGATTCAGTAACTCCAAATCTGGCAATTCCTACCAGGGTGGTGGGTCAGAGCAGATTCCCTTGCTTTAAGGCAGGAATAGCAGAATGGTTAGGGGGCTTGCTTTAATATTTGCATATCAGTTTGGCCCTGAGTATTTGAAAATACTGAACTTCAGTTTTTGATACTGAAACTAGTTTCAACTTTCAAGGTGTATTTAAAGTGAAATACTGGTTTTCACTCTTCAATTTTCCAAGTGAAGTTCATGTCTAAACACAAATGAAACCACAAACTCTTTTTCAAATTCAACTTCAACTTCAAATACTATTTTTTCACACTCCAGCTCAATTATTTTCTATGTGCCTATGAAGCATCCGAGGAAGTGAGATTAATGAATCAACTCTTAATTAATCCGCATAAGCTTCTAAGTTGCAAGTTAATAGACTCATTTTTTGGCTGTTATCCCAAAAGATTGAAGTAAAACACTTCTTAAATTGTTCTTTTCGACAACATTTTGTAGTCTGATTAAGTTCTTTATTGATAAATAAGCATCCACATAAGATTATTATTGACTAAAATAAATTGCCTCAATGCTCATGAAACCTTTTATGCGGGCGTTTGTTTGAGGTTTTCAAAATCTGAGTTTGCTTGAGTTTTTCCAAAAATTGGTTGTTGGAGTTGTTTTTCTGAAATAATTAAAGTATTTTTGAAGATTGTCAAACTCAGTTTTTTAAAATCTTTAAACCTCAAAAACTAGTTTTTAGAACTTTTGAGTTCTTACAAGCGTTGAAAAGCTGAGTTTGGAGATCTTCAAAAAATGTCGGAACTTTTTTTGGCAAACACAACTCAACAAACATTTTCTCCAAAAACTAAAAAATGAGTTTGGAGACTCATTTTTTGAAACTTCAAAACAAACGCCACCTAGTCTATGGTGACTTATCCAATCCGCTATATTATTTTGGTGGGCAAGATGACCCTTGACTTTCTGCAGAGATTGCAACTTACCATTTCTGTCACCTATTTAGAGATGATATTGTTTGTTTCATTTGTTTACTATTTGGTATCTAAACACAGTAAATAAAGACATCTGGAGGGAATGTTTTTTCAATCACTACCTTACTTTTGCCAATTTTCTTATGAGTATAGTAGGTCACCTGTCATTGTATAGCATTTCATGTTTTTTTCTGGTCAAACAAATACCTTCTTGCTAACAGTCTTTTCTAATAGGAAGAGCTGAACAATCACCTAAAGCTCCAGGAGGAAACTCCTCAGAGTGGTTCAGCTGAAAAGGTGGAATTCATTGATCATAAAATAACGCTAGATGATCCTCTCATTGATCCGGTTGACGGAATGTCCAAAGAGTCAATTGACACTATGGAGCTGTACAATTCCAAAAGCTTCCTGAAAAGGTTTTCGTCATTTAATTACTTTGCTGGGTAGAATAAATATTAGTTTAGTTCCCATTTCCCGAATTGATTATCATACTTAGAGCTGTAAACGAGCTGAATTGGACTGAGCTTTAACGAGGCGACTTCGCTCAGGCAAGTTTCTACTAGCTCGAACTCAGGCCCGTTTGTGTAGTTGGTTGATGTAGAGTTTTCTTATTCTCTAAGTTAATGAGCCAATAAGGAAAATTTTGAATGGAAGCAAGACTAGCATTACATGCTAAATACATGGCAAATGGGAATTTCTTATAAAAAAAAATATATAAAAAATCCCAGTTACCTGAGCTTTTGTGAACAGTTAACAAGTGAAGTCAATCTTTCACAAGCTTGACTCATGTAATAAATCAGTTTGACAGTGGGCTCAATCTCTGTTTTTTATTTAAATAAACGAGTGTTCGAGGTTACATATCAGCTCATTATAACTTTGGTCGTACTTCTTGGTTAGTAAAATAGAGCCTACAATATGTTTTATTTATAACAAATAGAGCCTGCAATATTTTCAATAGCTTATTATGTAAAAGGTGACATGAGTTTGTTTGATAACATGGAATTACAAATCTCGGTAGAAGCAAAAAATACTAGGTAATTTCTTCCCATCTACCTAAACCTTGGTGGACAAAGCTACTCGTACTTGGTACACTCTACATGTGTTGATGGGAGGTAGCAGGTACTCGATGGAATATCGAGCTGGGCACAAGCTGGCCCGGATCGTCATCAAAAAAGAGAAATATAACATGGAATTATTTTGTCTTAATACCGGGTAAATTAGGACACTTATGATTGGACAAAGAGATATAAGATACTCCTGTTCCATCCTTCGAGCGTAACTTTGATTAACTTTCTGAACTGATCTACCCAGATTTAATGCGGAAGACCGAGCAGTTGTATCTCATTTGTTCCATCAATGGGCCAAAAAGCCTGCATTTCAGGAACCACAGAGGTTGCTTAAGAAGGTAAAAGTTTGTTCATCTGTTTCATTTTCTTTACGATTGGGTTATATTTCTTAGTAAAGCGAAGCAATTAACGTTTAACTTCATGTATCCAATGTATCCTTTAGTCAAAACAGGCAAAAACCTGCTTCTGGATATTGGCAATTGGCGAGAATCATGCCAGATTGAAGTTTTAAAAACAGTTTGTTCTGTAACAAAAGGTTGGATCTTAACGTAGCTGTTTTTTGGTATCTTCAGGTAGGTTTTGTCATTGATGAGCGCCTTAGAGTCGAGAAGAGCACTCACAAGGTCTTGGCCCTGGTTTTCTCCCATTTCTTCATCTCAATTTGAATGCATTAGTTCTGATAAATTAATTACATGACTCTAAACATTATGGTAATTCATTCCCTAATATTTTTTTATTTTTGTTTTTGGGCAGCACATGCCCTTGCCCAAAGTTTATATTTGGTGCCAACACCAAAGTGACCTAAATGCCAAAATAAAACTAGCTAACCAAAGCCATGGTCTATTTCTCGTTTTAGGAATCCCACCACCAGTTGCACCTCTTGTCCACCAAATTCTTCCCGTCTTCGACATCAGTAGCCACCTTGTGCCTCCTTCCTTCCTCCATCCTTTGCCATCTACTAGTCTCTTGTCGCTGGGGCTGGGGGTGGGCTATTGGAAGGATGAAGAAAAACTGGTACCTCCAGTCCCTAGAAGCATGATGCTTTCTGTTTCTTTTGGTACCAAACTCTCCATTTCTCCTCTTATCGAATCTCTATCTTCAGAAAAATCAATAAACTTATGAAAAAGAATATCTGCCACCTTAAAACAAAACAGCTTCGTCAGTGAAACTTAAGTATCTGCCACCTTAAAACAAAACAGCTTCGTCAGTGAAACTTAAGTATCTGCCACCTTAAGGGTTCTATCATCACATTCCACGCCTAAAACGACCATCCTAGACGAAAGCACAGCTGCACTAGCCCCATTACTCATACATGCTTGTTCTTCGATCAAGTACTATTGGTGCAGAAAAGGAAGAAGTTAAAACTGACTTGTTAGTTAGGCTAGGCATGGTTTAGTAAGGATAGAACTTCAGGAAGTGAAGTAGGCCATTACTAGTTAAAAAATATTTATAATTAAGTCATACCTCTAATATTTTGAAATTTATTTCAACGTGTTGAATGTCCTGACATGTCTTTTGAGGATTTTCCAGGATGTTTTACGTGCCTTAAAGTCCTCATTAACTTGTGAGGAAGCTCTACATTATGCTGAATCTGTAAGTTAGCATCTCTATCTGTAGTTTTTAAGTACTTCAACCATAAATTTATTCTAAAGAACCACAACAATTACTATTCATTCTAGTCATAATGATCAAATATTTCTTGTTCGGTTAGGTGTTGAACTGGGAGAAAATTCCTGCTGAGAAGCGTGCTTACTTGATGAGAGAGAAGCAGGTATCATCCTAAACCCAATATCCTTTTAGTTCTCATACAAGTATCAAATACATGAACAAGTGAAAGGCCATGCTGGGGAGCTGGAAATTTGTGGCGGACATATTTGCACATTACCTCTTAGATTATGGTCATTCTGCTATTATAGTGCTTCAGGCATATGAAATAGTAGTTAAGTTCGAGAGTTGTTCTGATTTCATAAGCACAATGCGGATGGATGTCGCAATCGACAATTCATCCCTTTCCTTTTTTTCCTGTTTATGAGCCTTTCCCTATTCTTTGTACACTTTCACATATGAAGTTATTTGTAGGAGACTGAGATAGCATTTAAGAAAGCTCAGCAGTGAAAAAAGAAGAAAGTTTAGCATGGAATTCGTCCTGTTTCCCGAAGATTATTATTCTTCTTTACTTGTTAATTGGACCTTTTCTGTTGTAGGAGTACTTTCAGAAACTACGGATTGAAAGTGCAATGGGTTCATCAGAACCAACTCCCAAACAGGTACGCATAATTTGTTGTTCCCTTCTTGTTCTGTGTTCTACTCTTTGCATTTACTGGAAAAATAAAGGAGTTGCAAGTTTAACAAACTTTAACCACATTCTCAAAGAGATAAATAGATGAACTTAATCTGAAGATCTGTAAGCAGTGCTGTATGTTCTCTTCACACCTAGTGGGCGAATGTGGACTTTGCAGGACAGCCGTAAGTGTGTATCAAATAATGTGATACAGTTTAAGTATCTTTGCTACGTACTGTTGAAAGTACTTATTCGCCACATATTATTGCTAGTTCTATATAACCATCTTATATCTTAAGTCATACGAACCATCCCTTTGGACTTGAGGGCTGGATTTCACTTGTTTCAGTTTGATCTTATGGTTTAAATACTTGGTAAAACATCATAATCACGCAATAATGTGCTGCTTCAGATTTTATAACGGCCACGAGTTGTAACTATAGAGAGTACACAGTAATACTGCCTGTAACTAAGGACTTATTCTTGGAGCTCGGGGTAAGCTCATTCAGTTGTTTTGTTCCCTTGTGGCAGATCGCATATCTTCAGAGTCTAGGATGCACTATGGTTCCTACATCCCGTCTCCATGCGTCCCGACTGATTGAGGAATATAAATCGCTGTAGAAGAGACTACGCCAGTGTCAGCATCCTCAGTTAGCAGTCTCATCAGCAGGTTATTAGGGAATCGAGGTTCCATGCCTACGGATTATTATAGTGCTGTGATCTTGAAGTCTATTTATTCCAGGTTGCTTTTTAAGATCTGGAAGATACTTGTATACATAAATTTAGAGCAAATCATGTATTTAGAGCTTCAGCATTATTCGTGTATTTAGAGCAAATCATGTATTTAGAGCTTCAGCAAATCAACCAGGATTTTTTCTAAACTCACTCTTTTTAAATAGGTGTTGATGCTTCATCTGAACTTTACATCTTCAATGCTAAAAGTCTCAGGAAGGAAATCTATCTGCTATTTAATCGAAGGGATCAATACGTGGATCATGTTCACTTGCCATAGCCATCCCAGTACAAAGACACGTTGGGCACATGACCTGCCAAAAATAGAAGCTCATCTTAATTTCATGTAACTCATAAACTAGAGCTGAAAATCTAAAGAATGATACATCCAGCAAAACAAAAGAAATTGCTAACTGTTGCAAATATTGATAGGAGATCTACATGATAACATTGGCTAGTTAGTCGAAAAGTGATGTTTCCATTGTCCATGAAGGGCCAATCAAGTGTGGCTCTGGTATTAAGTGGCAAATGTAGATGTTTTCTTTCCATTTTCAAGGCATAAAAACTTGAGCGCTGATGAAAGAGGAAAAGAAGCCAAACCTTAACCAAGGTCAATTTATAATCTAACCTGACAGTGATGTCAATTGTTTAGAACTGTCCCCTATCCCTTCCCCTCCTGGATCACAATATTTAAAATTTTATGACATTCTGCAAAGATATCCATATCATATTGAATTGGAGGACCAAGTCACTTGAGAATTGGGCAGGAAAGTAGAGAAGTGCAGTTTACCCAGTCTAATTGATTTTGTTACTGCAGAGAGTGGACAATTTGGAGCCAATAAATTCGAAATGTTGTGTTACACTTACCTTTCCTGCGCCTGAACAGTTGGGACACCTTTCTGTATTAGGTGGTGACAGAGGTTTGTCCGCTCCATTAAATGTCGAAACAGGCTCGATAAGAACAAGAGCTCCAGTGCTAGAACATCGAGCGCAAGCAAGGTATCCTGCACATACATTTTCCAGTAGAAGCAATAATCATAAGAATCACCTGTGCATTCTAATTGCTTGCCAGTTGAATGCACTATACTTCTATTTAGTGTTATTCCCTTCAAAAAGCAAAAAAGAAATTCCTTCCAGAATCCAAAGAGTTAAAACAAAGTTACTTCCAGAAACCCTAACTTTGCATTTTCCCAATTAGTGGCGATTAATGGTAGCAAGAAAGTCGCAGCACTTTCTGTGATGGCTGAACTGTTTGAAGAATTCAATTACAAATAACTTGAAAAAGAAGTATTTAAAAAGAAAAAAAATAAGTCACCAGGAGCATAGGACTTGAGTATGACAACATCGTGATCTCCTCAAAAAGTTGTAGAACTACTTCTAATAGGTTGAACCAATTTCCAAAGTAAATAAACTTTTAAGTTTCGAATAATTAACCGATTACATACCAGTTCCGAGACAGTACTTGCATCTCTTATGCTCCTGCTGTTTCACATTATTGATTTCAACAACCATCAATGCAGAGATCACCCCAACCGCACCCCCAGAGAATGATGCCACAATTGGATCAACCTGACTGCAAAGTACATTAAAGTAACTATGAAGATGTTGCAAACAGATAGACCCACATAGCATTACCCTATCAAAGAATTAGATCTTTCAAGTATATGATATATAACCCAATAAACTGAAATTTTGATAGTAGTACTCAAAAATGATGAGTTCATTGACTAATATCACTTTCTGTTTCAAAATGATTAGCAAGTGTCATCACGTTCCACATCTATCCAACATAAATTAAAAAGCTAGTGAGCAATGACTCGTACAAGGTTTCTCATTGTAGTTTCTCTTAGTAGTACTCTTCTCTAACAATGACTAATAATGGATCACTGAAGTTTAGTCCAGCATTTGCTTTGCTCCCAGAACTGCTGATCTTAATATCTTACATATGTCCTCCCTCAACAAACAGTAGAAGCAAAATTGAAGGAAGAAGAAGCTGCAGATATTGCATAATTACTTGATCCATTTCCTATTTGTCTCCTGTATTGGAGAATGATTTTTGAAGGATGCAACTCATGTTTTTTTTGTTTAATTTTTTTGTTTCTTTGCATAGGCGACTTATATGGAAGAAGAGTTCATAGAGAACTTCTGACTTCTTTTTGAGATCTTGCTGGAAAGGACGGGGAATTGAAAAGAGGAAGAAGAAGACTTGGAATACTGCCTCAGTATGCATCATGTGGACTCTATGGTTGGACTTTCAAAAGAATGCCACACTTAAGCTAGGAAATGGGAGTAGCATTACATTTTGGACAGATAAATGGCATGACAATGGAAGACTGATGAATATCTTTCCCACCTTATTGAATATGTGCTTGAACAAAGAAGTCATGGTGACTGATTACTTTACAGACACATGATGGCTGATACAATTCAGAAGATATTCTCTTCTAATGACCGGGAGCTAGGTGAAATTACTCTTTTTTTTTTCTGCAACCTATTTCCCTTGATGTTAACAGAAAGGACTCACAAGTTTGGCTAGCTAACAAGAACGAATACTTCGCAGGGAAGAGTTACTACACCCCTTTTTTCTGAGAATGGTAACAAAGAGCTACTACACCCTTCTACAGCAGCAAGGCGAGGACTGGGAATTCAATGGCTTTGGAAAACGCTTTGAAGAACAAGTGCACCCCCTAAAGCAGCCTGTTTTGGATGGATTAGCTGCAAAAGAGGCTTGTCTAACTCAAGCTGCTCTTAAAAAAAAGGCCTATTTCTCTGCAGTAGAAGCTTTTATGTGAAGCCTCATTGGAGACAAACAATCATCTTCTACTTCACTGTAAATTCTCCTGGCCGATATAGTCATGTATGATTAGCATTTTTGGAGTCAGTTGGGTGATGCCCCAGGACATGAAGCCTATTATCTTACTGAAATGGACAGGATTGAAAAGAGGAAGAAGGACTTGGAAGACTGCCCCAATATGCATCATCTGGACACTATGGTTGGATAGAAATAATAGACTCTTTGAAGGAAAGAAATTAGATTTATCTTTTGTAAAATATAGAAGTTCACAGATGCTATATTTATGATGTAGGTGTAGTCTACTGGAAAATCGAACTCTTCTCTTGGAGTTTTTGGAGTCTAAAATGCTGCAACTATAGCAATGAACTCGTTGCTATCTTTGTACTTTTGAAGTGCCTTCTTGGTACTAATCATCAATAAAGTACTTTACCTTATAGAATAAAAATTTACTATATCATGAACGTACCTCAGTTGCATTGGTAGATGCATGCTTTGGATGAAATCGGCATATGATGTGCCTCCTAATCCCAATTTCAGCTCCAACTATAGCAATAAATGAGCAGGCTTTGGATGTTAAGAATAGTAGGCCTCACAAGGCATATATATAGGAGTTTGAACTGATTGTTAGCATCTGAGGAATTCTCAGGATTAATCACAGTTTTACATAAAGTCAATTGGCCAAATGATAACAATAATAAGAAAAATAACAACATTAAAAGAAAAACTTACAGTAGGCGCTAGAAGTCCACCAAAAAGCATAATTCCGGCAATGAGTGAGAAACAGGTAGCATAATATTGCTTAAGATTTGCTGATGTCTGCAAAAAAAAATCATAAAAATGTCATTCAAAATACTGCATAGCCTTCAATGCAAAAGAAAAAGAAAGGATCTCTTACTTTATGAGAACTGGAACTTTAGGTTATTATAAGAGTCTAATCACTACATAAACATTCCGCAACAGCCAAGACTACTTACAAGTGGAGGCAAAAAGGGAATAAATGATGGGAAATTAGGAAGCTCATTTTCTTGCTCATCCGTTAGTATCCCAAGCTCAGCACTTTTTAGCCTTTGTTGTATTCTTAGCCGCCGTACCTGCTCAAGTTTGAAGATACGAGGAATAACAATTTTGACACTGGAAGAATATGAGCATCTAATTATGCAACTATTGCAATCAAACCCCAATGTATCTCAACTATAACAAGAAATAATAAGGATGGCATTCAAAGGCATATTATGTTTCATATCAGCAAAAGTTAATAAGAAGATACTCCAATATTTTAGGCAAAAGTGAAAATGAGAGTTAATCAACAAAGCAGCCTATCTGCTATACATGTCAATTTCCCAAGGTCATAACTGTCATGCACTGACATGTCTCCCACATCATCATATTTCTTATTAGAAAAATACTGGTAATGCAAACACCGGATGTCTATAAGTTTTTTTTTTTTTCTTTCTATTATGTCAATTATAATAGAGATACAGAAATACATGGTAAGGCTACAACAGACTCTTGTGGTCGGACCATTCTCCGGACCCCGCTCATAGCGGGAGCTTAGTGCTCTGGGCTGCCCTTTATGTCAATTATAAACATTATGATTGACCTTATATTTCTCCAGTCAATAATATGAATTACGTCCGATCAATAATTATGATACAAAAGGTGCGCGCAAGCTGACTTTGAACACCACCGTCATCCAAAGAGAATAATTATCACAGAAAATGTTTGCTATGTTCTATAGACTATAGTTTCTAATATAGAACTATAATTTGAAACATTAAATTGAATAAATAAATAACATAGGGAGAAAAACAGGCCTCCTCCATATGCAAAAATATCTTGTTTCTCCGACTTCTAATATTATCTCGAATTTCTTGCAACTCCATTTTGGCAAAGTCCTCTACTGTCTCTGGCCCTTCTATTATACAAAACCTGTGAAAATAAATCCCAAAACCTCCAAAACGATCAATTGTCTTCCTTTATAACTTTCTAATAGTTACTCTTACTCATAAGTCCCTTCAAAACATCAAAATATTCAAACAATAAATTGATTCCTGAAATTAGAAGATGAATTACCCGGGGGCAGTTTTATCGGAGGATTCAGAATCAAAAGAAGTAGTAAATGCAGAGGCATCAGCATCGGAGGCCATAGATCGCCATTTAATATTATTAGTATTATTTCTAAGGTTCCTTCTATGGAGATATCTGGAAGTAGAAGAACAAAACGGCGTCGTTGAGCAAGATAAACACAGTATTCTACCTGAACACACCATTTTTGAGACTTCAGAAAAATCAAATCATGAATTCTTTGTGATTAGCGAAGAGGGAGCTAATGGCCGGCTAGCTCATAGGAAGAAGCTGAAGAAAACAAAAGAGAGTATATGCTCTGTTCTGGTGGCCAGTGGTAGGTGTTTTTTTTCCGTTATACCCAAAAATCTGGTGCCAAATTGCAAAAACAAGGAAAAGAAATTATATAACACAAATTTGGGTGGTTTATACGTGTCACTGGGTCATTATTGTTTTTGTTATGTTGGACCCACGTTATTAATGGGATGGATTAGATAATTTTTGTTTTTGTTCTTTTCTGGAAATTTCTATTGTTTGGATAATTTATGGCGAAAAATAGCTAGTTGTAATTCTTTTTTCTTTTAATTTTGTGACTGTTTTGTTAGTGAAGGAAGTACAATTTTTTCCTTAATGAGATGCTCGGCAAAAGGACTTTTCTTTTCTTAATAGAAACATTTCATCATCCCATTTCCAGAAAATAAAGCTTTCTGAAAAAGAATTTCAAAAGCTTTCTTGTAAAAATAAAACTTGAACAAACATGTTAATTCAATAATCTCATGAATTTTATTGCTCAATTAATTAGAATATTTTACTCTTAATTAATTTGTAAGAAATTGCTAGCAATATTTTGTTTTCGTTAAAGTCAGAGTTGGTTGGAAAAAGGAAGAACGAAAAATAGAAAACGAGATATATGAGTGGAGGTGCGAGTTTTAGAATCAAAAATAAAAATGTCAATGGTGGGAACATTTGGGAGAGTGTCGGTTTCTTTAGTAGCTTCATGTAAATGGATAACTTTTGTAGTTTTTTTGTTTTGTCGTTTGTTCCCTCCTTGATAGAGTTTAAGTGATTTGATATAGAAATATTCTTTAGTTCCATTTGTTGTTGGGCTAAAACGGCTCAAAAGAACTCTTAACATGGTGTTATATTATTCGTTTTGGGTCAAATCTATATAATTTTTTTCCAAAATGTTTCACACCATTAAGAGATCCTTACACCTTATATGTAGACTCCCAATCTTTTCAGCTATCATGTGGGGCTTTATTCGTACACCCAACAATCTCTTCCCCGAACTAAGTCCCACGTGGCTCACTACCACGATTCACGGGTCTTCCCCTCGAACTAAGTTTCATGCGACCTATTGTCACGATCCACGTGTCAATTTTCGAGATCCATTGTGTGTCACCCACATTATTTAAGTATTATAGCAACCGAAGCCCACAACTAACTTCTTCTTGTGTGCGCACCGCCCCGCACCATCACTTTGCCATTCCACACTCGTCTCGCCGAACCTGGGCTCTGATACCAGTTGTTGGGCTAAAATGATCCAAATATACTTTTAATATGGTGTGATATTGTCCGCTTTGGGCCAAGCCCGTACGGTTTTTTTTTCAAATAGTCTCACACCATTAAGAGTATCTAACTCCTTATAAGTAGAATCTTTTTTCTTTCTATTTTTCATGTGGACTTTGTTCACACACACTCAACAATATCCCCTTGAACTAAGTCTCACATGACTCATCGCCATTTATTGGCTAATTTGGAGATTAATTGTGTGCAACTCACATAATCTGAGTATTTATGGTCACTGAAGCCCAAAAGCTGTGTATGCGTCTTCAAAGTAAATGTTGTAAACCCCGTAGACAGGCAAAGGCAATAAGCCGGGGCCACACACCACACTCCGACATCTCCATAATCCCGCCAAACCATTGGTTTTGATACCAATTATTGGGCTAAAACGGCCCAAAGATACACTTAGTGTGATATTGTCCGTTTTGGGCCAAGCCCACACGGTTTTTCCCAAAAGGCCCCACACCATTAAGAGATTCCTACACCTTATATGTAAATTCCCAATCTTTTCAGCTACCAATGTAGGACTTTGTTCGCATACCCAACAATTTTCATTCATACCGCATATTATATTTTCTTTTATATACATTTATTCAATTATAGTTTGTTATTTTTTACTTTTGTCCTTCAATTCACCTTTTTAAAATAAAAGAGAAATTTGGTTTGTCTTTCTTGACCCTTGTAGTTTTAATTTTTTTCTTATATAGGATCATTATAATCTTTTATTCAAATTGTAAAGAGTTATTGTAAAATTATATTTTTGCGCACAATTTTTGACCTTCATATATTGGATATATCTGGTCAAATGATTCAAGTTTTACCTTCCCACGTACCAACTTCAATTTATTTTATTCTTAGAAGCGATTTTACTCTCTCATCATCATTACTCTTTCTCAAGACTTAAAGCCTGTTTGGCCAAGCTTCAAAAGTCAGTTTATTTTGAGAAGTATTTTTTTCTCAAAAGTGCTTTTGGTGAGAAGCGATTGTGCTTGACTAATTAATTTGAAAAATACTTCTAACCAACAATTAATGTTTGGTCAAGCTTTTAAAAAATATTTCTAAGTGTATTTTTCTCAAAAGTGCTTTTCAAAAAAATATTTTTCAGGAGAAACTACTTTTTTCTACTTCTCCAAAAATATTTTTGCTTCTACTCAAACCTATTTTTTTCTTTTAAAAGTTTGGCCAAACACTTCAATTTTGAAAAAAGAATGCTTGGCTTTGAAAAAGCTTGGCCAAACAAGCCATTACTTTGAAATTGGCATCAGAAGGAGTAGAAATTATGGAAAATTACTGATGAGTGCATATAAAGGGTTTTATTTGGTTATATTTCGGGTGATTATTGGATTTTTAGTGAGTAATTTTGGTGATAATTTTATTAGAAAACATATTTGTATTTTGTTAATGTGCATGCTACTTCTATATATATATGTTAGAAGAAAAAGATAAAAAGGTCCAAAAATATACAAAAGATAGCAAAGAAGCATTTTTTATGATTGAATAGGATGTTTTAGAAGTCAAATGGTGACAAGGAATGAATATTAAAACAGCAAATAGTGTGTTTAGAGATTGGGTCCAATTTTAGTAGATGATATCTCTCACTCAATAAGTAGTTTTATCATTATTCGTGTGGGAAATATAGAGCATTAAGTCTAATTTCCAGCAGTTCAAACGGCTCATCGTTCCAACTTTCCTACGCAAAATTATGGTCTTTTTACTGGACAATACCAAAGATGCGTGTCCGGGTGCACCCCCGAGTTTCCAGGTGCGTGGCAGCGCACGTCCGTTTGCAAAAGAACTCAAGTTAGGCTTATTTTTATAATTTTTAGGCATTCCCCTTGACCTATATAAAGTGAGAAGAAGGCATGGAAACAATAAAAAATTTGAATACTTCATCTGAATCATTCAATACAAAAGTTTATTTGAATTTATGGGTTGTAATATTTTCTTGTCCTCTTAATACTCTTGTGATGAACAATTTTTCCACTATGAAATAGTCATTCTTAGGGTTATTGACGGATGTTGTGACTTGACTATTATTTGAGGGTTTGATTTTTGTTAGTTGCTTGAATTCATTGAAAGAGTTTGAATTGAATTACAAAGTTATTTGTGATTTCACTTTAATCGAAAGAGAAGTGCGTTGTGATTTTACTGTGTTATCTTGTATGGAGAAATTTCACGACTCTCATAGGTAATCGAAAGAGCTTATAGAGTTATTAATTAAGCCAATATCGAGGAATAGTCGAGAGACGTTCTTCATAAGACCAATCATTCAACGTGTTTTTGCATATGTTCATAGCACTTGTCATTAGGTTGTTCAACAGAACTCTCATTCATTCGAAAGAAGAATCTGAATCCTAAAGATAATCTAATCATCTATTGAAATCTAAAGAATCAATAACTTAAGAGTGAACTTAGAACAGAGTTATACCCCGGATAATAGTTTAGCACATATCTTGTCAGAGCCCTTATTTCTCTCATTGATATTCGATGGTTGCTACCTAGCTACCTAATTTCCAATTATCATTCGTAATTGGTAATCTTAGTTTTACTCTTTGTTCATTAATAATTCTAAATCAAAGGTTTATTTTCCTGAATAGTGTTAAGCTAAAAATCTATTTGAATATTATTTAAACCAATCCATGTGGAGACGCTTAAATTACTATACTTTTCTTGACTAGCGAGCCTAAGTTTTATACATTGGTTTTGTGCTCGTCAAATTATAGTGTCCAACTGTCAATCCATAAACAATTTCAACCAAAACTAGCCCAAAATAAAATATCTACCGCAAATAGCTCAAATGTCATTTTGTAACACGTCTATTTTGCTTAAGCACAAAGATATTTCAAACTTTTTGAGACTTCGGTAAATATTGCAATATTCTAATTCCTTTAAGTTGAAATTCAGAGAATCGAGTATCTTAACTCGATTTAAAAATTACTATTAAATATTAATTTATTGGATTGGGTCGAATGATTAAACTGAACATGCCATGGACAACTATTGAAGCTTGCTTAAGCTTACAGCAACAACATACCCAACATTATCACACACCATGGTTTGGAAAAACTTAATGATTCGACCACAGTGGGAGTCGAACCCACGACCTTTTGAAGCTTGCTTAAGCTTGAATTCAAAAATTTAGATTTTCAAAATTAGAATTTGTTTCGAGGAGTGTTGTTGGAATAGATTAGGTATAGCTCAAAGAGTGTGAATCTCAATTTTGGGACGATTTGGTGGAGATTTTAGGTGGTTTTAGTTGAAATTTTAGCTAAATTCAAGAAGATCATATGTGTATCACACTATGTATCATTTGTGTATCACATATGTATCATATGTGTATTAAATGTGTATCGCATATATATCCATGTATTCTTATGTGTGAGATACGTGTGTGATACAAGTGTAGCAGGAAATATTTTAAACTCGATTTTAACTACGAATTTTGATACCAAACTAGTCAAAATCACCTCCAATCTTACTCAAATTTTATATATTGCCTCGTATATAAGTTTTCAACGAATTCCAACAATATTTATTGAAAAAAATTCCTTTTGCATAATTATTAATATTGTTTATCACCGGCAATGAATTTTGACTCCAAACTAGTCTACGACTCATTTGTTTTTTAAAGATTAAAATATCTGAATCTTAAATGCACATCTGGATATTAAGATGAGTATTAAGATTAAAACGTCTGAATCTGAATACACATCTTAAATATTAAGATGTGTATTAATATCTAAATACTAAATGATTAAGATTGTTTATTTTTCAACATCTGAACGTATATAATTTATTTCTATTTAAAAA